TATTATTATTATTATTATTATTATTATTATTATTATTATTATTATTATTATTATTATTATTATTATTATTATTATTATTATTATTATTAAGGTCCCTTCCAACCTTTGGTTGTGTACATCAATTCTAGGGACACTGTATGGCAGTTTGTTTCTGGATGCAAATGAAGGGGAGACTATGATTTGCAAATACAATGACCTGCAGTGTTTATTTCAGAAAACTGTCCTTTACATATAATTTAATTATTGCTTTTCTTGGTTTTGCTCTTTCCTTTGTAAGGCAAAGTTATAAACATATTTTTTTCTATCCTCTTTTAGCTTTGCCCCTTTTTCAGATTTGTCCTTTGCATTCTCCAAGAAATTATGGTCACTGTACTGTATAAATTTGTATTTTGTTTGTGCATTGCATTTTAACTCTAATTTCTGTGATGCTCCACTTAGGTTTTTAAACAAGAATTATTATTTAAGTACATATATATATATATTTCTAATGCATTTCCATAATATTTTTTTTAACTTACTGCATTTTCTACAAGTGAGTCCCACATTTTATTATTTCGATAACTTTCCTCTATAAGGTGACTCTGGGAGGCCTAGCATTTTAACTAATGAAAACTAAAATAATATACAGGTCCTTGAGTTGCGACCATAATGGAGCCTGCCATCAAGAGCATAACTTGGGATGGCCACAAATAAGATAACTCACATGACCAAAGCAAACGTTATTGGGATATTGTAAAGGGCTTCGCAGGTGAGTCCCCAGCCAAGGCGGCAGTTTTAGATAGGGCCATGTGAGGCCAGGTTTTCCACCGGGGGCTCTTAGAACCTGTATTTCTAATTTATTGGGCCACAGTGTAGAAGCGGTTCACCTTCGTGTCTTCCAGGGAGACCAGACATCTCTTTGTGGTCTCTTGTCCCTTCCAGAGCCAATGCGGCCCCTTTTAATTAGAGGTCAGTTGACGTCTGCCACTCACGTTCCACGCTTGGCATGGGATGACCACTCCCAGGATTCCCAACCAGCCTTTCTGCAAAGCAGGCCACGGCAGCTTCTGAGCATGGACAGAGTTTATTTGCGCCCTCTGCTCCCACCCTGCCTTCTTCGCCCCCTATTCGAACGGGGGCTGTTGGAAGCTCACAGATGATGAGGTGCATCGTAGCGGGACCGGCAGAAGCGCAGCGGATGAAGGAGCTTCTCCACCTCCATGGTGGCCCAGAGCTTCCCACCTGACCGGCCGAAAGAAGGCAGGATCTTTTTCCGCTTGCAGGAAAGGGAGGCTGATCCCCTCCCCGGATCCACTTCTTTCCAGCTGGTTCTCTACCCCTCTCGGGATCTTTTCATTTCCAGTGGATTTTCAGTGCCTCCTTGCTTTCTTCCCTTTGCTGGGGATTCCCAATTGCCTCTCGGGATCCTCTTTCGTTCTGCTCAATTCCTTCTCAGGATCCCTTTGTCTCTAGTGGAGCCCCAAGTGATTATTTTGAGTTTTTACCTTCTAAAAAGATGCCAGGCTTAGGGATGTAGAAGGCCAGCCTTTTGATGGTCGTCCCAGAATTCCCCAGCCAGCCTGCTTCAAGATAAGTGAACTTCAACTCCCAGAATTCCCCAGCCTGCATACTTTAAGATGGGTGGACTTCAATTCGCAGAATTCTACAGTTAATTATGCTTTAAGATGGGTGGATCAACTCCCAGAATTCCCCTGCCAGAATATTTTACGATGGATGGACTTCAACTCCCAGAATTCCCCAGCCAGCATGGGGAATTCTGGGAGCTGAAGTCCAGACATCCTAAAGTTCCTGTGGTGGAGAAACTCTTCACTAATGCATTGAAGATCTTCTGATGCTGGATGGAACGGTTCTAGGGAAGGAAGGCTGCGTTAAATTAAAAGCGGTTAAAATTTCTTACTGTCAAAAAAATCATTTTTCAACCCGATTCACTTTTGTATGCATATCTGCCTACATGCATTTGCACGTGTGTAGGTGTGTTTCTCAAGTCGGTGATCTTCTATCCCTGGTGGCGTACTAATTTTACTACAATGTTTTAAAACCTTAAATGAAGAAATAAAGCTATTTTTTATTACTTTTTCATGTGTTGGTCAGCCACTTTGCCCCGTCTCCCCCCCCCCAAATGCTCAGCTCAATCCATAAGGCTTCAAACTCTGGGGGGGGGGCGGTGGCACAGGCTGTGAGGGCAGCCAGGGTGGACTCTTGGGCTGGGTCTCAGGTTCAGGGTATCATGTGAATCCATCTCAGGTGGGGGTCAGTTCCTCCTCTCCCTCATGGCTCCAGGGAGACCCTGGGAATTAAGCCCCCTTTCTTTGTCCCCCGGTGGCCTTCCAGCCCCTCCCCCCAGGCTCACCTGTCTGGGCCCCCCTCCTGCTGCTCCTCCTCCTGGGCACCAGGGATCTGGGGGCAGCGCCTTCCCCCCTGCTGCCCCCCCTGTAGGTGGTGAAGAGGATGCTCTGAGCACAACAGCCGCCCAGGAGACTCCTCATGGGCATCCAGGAAGTGTCCCATGGCAGGGGCCCCGGCAGGGGCTTCTGGGAGCGCAGCTGCTGCTTTGTGGGGGACCCCCCACCCAGAAGGACGTGAGTGGGAGGAGGAAGAGGTGACCTCGAAGGTTTTGGGCAGCCAGGCTGGTGGCTTTGGGCAGCAGGGAGCCGGCCTGGGTGGGGATGGCTGGGTCTTCCATGGCAGTTGCAGCCCCTCCAGCCCCCTCCCCTCCTTCCATTGTGACCTTAGAGCAGAGATGACCCCACACAGGTCATTGTCTAAGCAACAGCCACTGGGTGGGGAGACACGCCCCTTCCAGGCAGGTTGCCAGGCGATGCCACCTTGGCTCAGGTGCCCAGACAGTTGGGAAACGTTGGGTTAGGGTTAGGGGCTAGGGTTTTGGCGGTCTTCCCAGAATTCCCCAGTCAGCATGGTGTAAGATGGGTGGACTTCAACTCCCAGAATTCCCCAGTCAAATGGTTTAAGATGGGTGGACTTCGACTCCCAGACTTCCTCAGTCAGCCTGCTTTAAGTTGGGTGCCCCCTCCCCTCCCTCCATTGTGACCTCAGAGCAGAGATGACCCTACACAGGTCGTTGTCTAAGCAACAGCCACTGGGTGGGGAGACACGTCCCTTCCAGGCAGGTTGCCAGGCGATGCCACCTTGGTTCAGGTGCCCAGACAGTTGGGAGAGGTTGGTATGCACAGTCCCCCTAAATGGCAGCCAATCTCATTCAGAGGTAGCCAGCTAGCCACCAGGTGATGGGGAGTTCTAGTCCTGCAACAGTCAGGAGAACCAGTCGGGTGACTGGGCCAAGTGCCAGGATAGAGTGACTCCAGCAATAGGCACAGTGAGTTTGAGTCCTGCAATACACGCAACAGGCAGCTTAATGACTTTGGGCCAATCACCAGGAGACGGTGAGTTCTATCAGAATAAAATAGAGCTGGAAGGGACCTTAGAGGTCTTCTAGTCTAGCCCCCTAGTCAAGCAGGAGATCCCATACCATTTCAGACAAGTGGCTGCCCAGTCTCTTCTTAAGAACCCACAACGTCTGGTGGCAAGCTGTTCCACTGGTTAATTGTCCTCATAACCAGGGAGCTTCTCCTTAATTTCAGGTTGCTTCTTTCCTTGATTAGTTTCCATCGGTTGCTTCTTGTCCTGCTTTTTGGTGCTTTGGAAAATAAATTGACACCCCTCCTCCTTGTGTCAACCTCTCAAATTCTGGAAAACTTCTATCATGTCCTCCCGAGTCCTTCTTTTTTCTAGATTGGCCATTCCCAAATCCTCCAACTGTTCTTCATATGTTTTAGTCTCCAGAACTTTATTCATCTTAGTTGCTCTTCTTTGCACTTTTTCCAAAGTCTCAACATCTTTTTTGTAATGTGGTGACCAAAACTGGATGCAGTATTCCAGGTGCAGCCTTACTAAGGCTTTATAAAGCGGTATTAATATTCACATTATTTTGTTTCTATGCCTCTGTTTATAAAACTAAGGATTGTGTTAGCTTTTTTGGCTGCCGCCGCACACTGCTGGCTCATGTTTAAGTGATCGTTCACTAGGACGCCAACATCCCTCTCACAGTTACTGCTTTTGAGCCAGGTTTTACCTAAACTTTACTTGTACCTTTCACTTTTCCTGCCCAGGTGTAAACATTGGCTTGCCTGTATAAGTCAAACATTAAGCACGAAGAACAGCTACATGACCTTGAGCCAATAACCAGGAGATGGTGAGTTCTTGCACAACGTTAGACACAACTGCCAGCAGCAGCACGTTGGGCCAAGGAACAGGGGACAGTAACTGTTAATGCAATTGGAAAGGTAAGTTCCAGTTCTGCAATACGCACAACAGCCAGGTGAGCGATTTTGTGTCTTTAAACAGGACAAGATGAGTTCCAGTTGAACATTGAGCATAAAAGACAGCTGCAAGGACTCTGGGCCAATAACCTCGGGACGGAAATCTCTACTCCTGCGATGGGAAAGTAAGTTCTGTTTCTGAATTAAAGGTGAGACTTAGCGGAGTGACTTTCAAATAGTCAGCAGATGATGGTGACATCAAGTGAGGCCATAAATACGAAAGGCACCGGAGTAACTATGAGGCAATACCCAGAAGAGGGTGAGTATTTTTGGGGATGTATTCAGGAAAGCCAATTTCCTTCCTTTGGCCAATAACCAGGAGAGGGTGAGTATTTCTGGGATTTATTCAGGAAAGCCGATCTCGTGACTTTCTATTAATAACCAGGAGATAGTGAATATTTTGGGGTCTCTATATAGGAAAGGCAATTTTGTATTTCTGGATCAATAACCAGGAGACGGTGAGTATTTTTGGAGTTCTATACAGGAGAGGCAATATTGTGTTTCAAGATCAATAACCAGGAGAGGGTGAGTATTTGGGGGACTCTGTACAAGAAAGGCAATTTCGTGTCTTTGGATCAATAACCAGGAGAGTGTGAGTATTTTTGGAGTTTTGTACAGGAGAATCAATTTTTTGTTTCTGGATCAATAACCAGGAGAGGGTGAGTATTTTAGGGAATTTATTCAGGAGAGGCAACTTTGTGTTTTTGGATCAAAAACGAGGAAAGGGTGAGTACTTTTGGAGTTTTGTACAGGAGAAGGGATTTTGTGTTTCTGGATCAATAACCAGGAGAGGGTGAGTATTTTTCGGAATTTACTCACAATTTTGTGTTTTTGGATCAAAAACCAGGAGAGGGTGAGTATTTT